ACGGAAATAACCACGCTGTGTTTCCAAAATCTTCACAACGAATAGTCCGTTTTTTTGTGAGGTGGTCGGTACACGGGCGGGTAAGAACACTTGAGCGGCAACATATTCAGCGGTGATGGCGCAAATCCAACCGACTGTGTAAAATTCCGGGTTAGACTATGAATAAACGAGGATATGACGCATATTATTCCAGATTTTATTAAATATACATATCAATGTGCTGCTTGAAGTCACCTGATGATACAACAAAGGGAAGCTAGCAGTCAACTCCTGTTCCAGAATAGCCATCCTTCCCGGTCAACCTGCCCTCCTATCCCAACCAGTTCCTCTATAGACCGAGCATCGGCAGCGTTCTCGAATGCGTCAAAACTGACTTCCTCGATCTCCCTATGGGAGCCGTTTCTGAACAAGGCAGGCAAAAGCACGCCAACCCCAGCGGCACCCAAGACCATCTCATGCTTCTCGAATCCCTCCATCACCAAAGCCTGGTCGAGTGCTTGTTCATCAACCTCTTTGATGTTTGGGCGAGGCAGTATAATGGCACATCCACCGCCACCGGCACCAGTAAGCTTTGCCCAGCCGACATTTGTAATCGCTGCGAGCTCGCAGACGCGGTCGAGGAGGGGGTGCGAGGCACCGAGCCTAGCAAGGAGCTTCTGGTTGTCGCAGAACAGGCGCCCCAGAACCTCTACAGTAGCTTGTCTGTCATGACGGTAGTCTGGGTAAGGTCTGGAGAAGATCTGCAATGCCTTCCCGGTGAGCTGGCCGATATGATCCAAGGTCTGCTCAAACAACTCAGGCTGTTCGTTTTTTAGCCTGCGAACTTTCTCGACCTGGTCGGCCGTCGTACGCGGCTGTTTGGTATGGACAAGAAGAAGGCGCAGACTCGGGAAGTGATCGATCGGGGTGACGAATGATGGCTTATCCTCAACTCTACCGTCCACCACGTTCTTGCGGAAGAGCACAGCTTTGCCCTGACATGAGACAGTGTTGTCCACCCCGCTCGGGTCTCCGTGAATGCAGAGCTCTCCAGCGTATGCCCAGTTGTTGATGCGCTCCAATTGTTGTTCGGCTTCTTTGACTGGCTGGTCTGGATGTGGCCCTGAGACGGCGCGTGTTTGAATGAGTAGCGCCGTGCTCAAGCAGACACTAACACTCGCACTACTGCCCAGGCCAGCGCCAACTGGAATAGTCGATCGAAGCGTGTACACGAATCCGTGGCATTCTGGGGAACCGAGGGAGAGGAAGAGGTAGAGAAAGGCAGTGGCAGAACCTGTATGGATCTTGCGCTCCTTTTCGGGAAGATTTGGGGAGACGAGGTCCACATGCGGCTTAATGGCGGCTAGTAGGGTCTTGTCTAGAGAGTCGATGTGTGAATGATAGAGCTTTCTGCCGGGCGCCTGCTGGAACGCCTCCCAGGGCAAGCTGGCGATGTCCCACGTGTGGTGCATTTTGATGTCTTTGAAGTTGAGACTGACGGTTCGCTCGGACTTGGAAAGGGTCTTGACGCTGAGGTAGGATCGGAGCGAGATGGCGGCGGCGATGACTGGCTTGCCATACACGGCAGCATGTTCACCCAGGACAATAACTTTGCCTGGTGCTGAAACCATGAATGAGGACGCCATTGGCGACGAATATGTTTTCTCCATGGCTGACGAGAAAAGGGGAATGGCGTTGGGGTGAATGGGGTGACGAATGGAAGTAGGTGGCCATAATCTCTTTTTGGTGGGAGACGGGAGCCTCCTCAACCCTTGACAAATCAGGCGACCTAAGCCTTTCCCGTCAGTCACCCCTTACTTACTTGTGCCCGAGCACTGACCAAGTCGAGGGTCAAGATTCTCCCACGAACCTGTGGGACGAACCCAGAACACGAAATTGTGGTGGAGATACTCTTCCATCGGCCCCTTCGTATTAACAAGGTATCATGACTTGAGACATACTCTCTGCGATTGTCACTATTATGAGGGTATACACGAGTCTCTGCGGAGTCGGTAAATGGAGAGCAGCACATGGATCACAACTCCAGAAGAAGTTAATTAAGGACAGCCTTGAAAATTCACACTCAAGCCAAAGCAGGTTGCTAAGCAAGAGAGCAACGCAGACGCGTTGTTTTTTGTCTGGCAGAATGAAAACGAAAGCACAAACAGATAACTAGAGCAGCCTATCAAGGCTGACATAGTCCAAGGCGGTGAGCAGACGCCCAGTTGAGTCTTGACATTCGTGGCTCTAGATCGGAGAAGTTATCACCCTCTCCCTTGCCAAATTTGATCCACGTCGCATTCTGACAGGAATGTCCTGGGTCTATGAATGACAAGAATTTACTAGCCAATGAGAGCGACATAATAAAAAAGGAGTAATGTGATTCAAAAACGAAAGGAGTGTTGATTCTTCTCTTCGAAACCAATGGACTTCATGGGAGTTGAAATACCCATGAGAACAACCAAATCTCGGGTGTTACGTTCCGAGGTGGCGCCATGACTACAGTAACAGTATCATGTAAAACAAAAAGGAGGTATTGCGGGTTTGCAATCCTCCGGTTCCTAAAAAGGTACCTGACTAGTCAATACAGTGCAGGTCTCCAGTTTCCTGACACATTCTCTCGCGTCCCACCGTTCCCCACCACGCTCATCATCAATCGTCCCCAAATGCGCCATGCAGCACCTCTCTAACCCTAAATTACGAGAGTTGGGTCAGAAGCGAAAACCTCGCGGAGAGTAGAAACTTACGCAGCAGTTTTTAACGCTGCTCGGGTTCGCCTTGGTACACGAGGGGCAATGCCAATGGTCGCTCTGGGAATGGGCACGATTTGTTAGCATTGGCAAATCCTGGGGAGGTGGGAGGGGAACAAGGACCTGCGTTCGCCTGAGTCACCAGTGCTGATGATCAAGCTTCATTGCTGGGGGGGATGGGGGCAAAACTCACCGTGTCAGTACATCCCTATCGATGACCGTTCAGTAAGCATAAGCTAGAATGAGCAGAGAGATTGCAACGGTGGAATACGTACCGGGGAAGAGCAGGCCTCATTAACGAGTCCTTTGACTTCGGAGACGGCCATGGTAGTGGTCTTGGTTTGGCGGAGTGAATTGGAGCGAGAAGATGGGAGCGTTTCGAACGAGAAGGCAAAGATTGAGTGAAGGTTGCCTGGGAGTGCCTGAGATGCTGATAAGAGAATCGTCTCCCAAGACGTCCGAGTGGCCTCAATTTATACACTCAACATTTGCCTCTTGGAACGATCGTACAGTAACAAGTAGAAGCCTGAGACGTTACATTTGTGGCGCTAAGCTATAAGGGGCCTAACACGAAATTGGTCTGTGCACCTTCGAACGCCCTTCTATCCCCCAAACCCGTCTGTAAATTCTTTTCACTCTAGGCTGGCTAGGTGACCCTGGCTGTAAAACATCGGATGAGCGGGGAACCCTGTGTCATCCTGGGAGTGCTAGTCCAACATCGCAGCGGCCTAGTCTATTGCAAGAGCAAAGACCCACTCTGGCAAAGAAATATACGAGCCGCATAAACCTATGTATTCTTGGCCTGAGAACCTCTGAACTGGGTTTCCTGCTAACGTGGCCTGCAGCACACAGCTTTGCAAGTAAAATTGTGCATATAAGCACGAACGTCAGTGGAGAGGGGACTGGCGGCTACTATCGGAATAGCCGAAGACAAAGGAATCGGACCCACGCAGTGACTAGATATTTGATGACGCTAACAGCCGAATAGGAAAAGCACCAGGATATGGGGTCAGTGGTGGAACATGGATAAAGCATAAAGCGTGATAATTGGACTGCAGGGAACGCGGGTGATTGATGATTGAGATGATAAGGGGCTATTCATTTGCCTGCAAAGGCATCCGACGATCCTGTTTGGATTTCCGTATATCTCCGTATTAAGTAATTGACCCACGAGAATATGGAATATGTTTTAACTCAATTAATACTGCGGCGCAGCCCATGCACAAGCTAGAGACTCTTGGACAGTCATTGCAAGAGCAAGGACAAGGGTTTGCTAATAATAGAAGAGGCTGGAGCGCAGAGAGGACTGGGGCACTCTGTAGTACAAATCTTTGATTTCTGATGACAAACAATAAGCACTTGCCTGGATAAGAAGGAAAGCCATGTTCGGATTGTCGGTAAACGAAAAAGGCGTGAGGTATCACTTCATGTGCTTACCCCGCTTGGGCGAATAGACAAAACACTGATAACAGACCACTAGGCGAATTGGACGTCTGGCAATAGTTGCGTCACGCGTGTTCAGAGGCTTCGCCAAACAAGTATGGGCAGATGTCTGCCCGGGCAGACATCTGCCCGCCTCCGTATTAGTCGCCTCACGGACGCTTCTGCATTAGTCGCCGCACGGACCCCGATAGCAATATCCTAGGTGAACTGACCCTAGTTTTATTCAACCTAACAAAGTCATCTTTCCAAAATAATTCTTTCTTTCTCAATCATGGTTATGAACAACAATGTAACTATTGCTTCCCACGATATTAGTTGGATATCAAAACTGATCTGAAGCAGTATGATCAAGAACTTCGCACCACCCTGGAGAAGCTTGAGCGGCTTGTCCGAGAGGCCGGGGATCCGGTGAGTGTCGCGCTGACCGAGTGACGTATCGATGTTAACTGCTCATTGATCAGGAAATTGGAGATATATTGAGAAATGTTTTGAAATCACCCGGCCGGATAAATTCTCTCCACGGAATTTTTGTGAAAAGGCTTAGAAGTAAAGGCCATGACACTTCATCAGCTCGGCGTCACGACTTTTTTTCTGGATTCAGAGCGCGTGACGGAGACGGTTTATCCGAGGACCAAGTGAATCGACTTGTCTCACTCACGAGACGATGGGATCTTAGTGAAGACAGCCTCAAAGCCTTGAAGGTGTGCTCGCTGTTATGGACTGTGAAGCCTTGTTTGTTTTGGCATGGAAAAAAGCCAGACAAAAACGTTCTTTTACGTTCTTTTGATGACTTGGAAAGAATGCGAGAAGTTGACCCGGCTAGACGCAAATGCTTGCTGGTGACATTGTCTAGGCAAGTCGTCGAAGAACAGGGAAGATGCCATCGGGCAAATATTGCAGCGAAAAAAAGAGAGAGGAATCGACCGACAGCGGGCAGACGAACAAGCTATACAGTGCGAAATCCCCTTCTTCTAACCTCTTCACTGCGTGCTTTGTGTCGGCGATTTTGGCCAACTCTTGACAAAAGTGCCCACAACGATAGAAAAAAACGAATCTCCGCCTATTCGTTGTGGGGATGGAAATGGGACCAGTTGAAATATGTCGAGATGATATTGTCCTTATCGCAAGCTCCAACAAAAACGTGAGTCCTTCGAACCATTAATTGACAACCCTGACTTTGGCCAGATTCGAGACCTATAATTGGCACAAGATGGAATTCGAGGCCATCAATGGCTACCTTGAAACCCTTCCACAGTTTAGCATTCGAGATTTGCTCTTGCAATCATGGGAGTCTATTGAGTCTTACTACCATGGTGAACAGTATCCTAGCCCTGGTATAAGACATCCAGCAACACCATACCAGGAATCAACAATATCGATTGATAGAGAATCAAATGATGTTCTTACCAACCAAGAACACGGTGATCCTATAACCGAAATGGAGAAAAATGCAGTGGACGGTATGCTCCGTTCGCAGCAACCCGACAATACGTTCCTCCCGGCCAATCCTGATATGACGTCCCACAACGTTTTCAATGCCGCGCAACTTGGCTTGCCAATGTCCTTCTCGAACTTAGATTTTTCGCAGGACACAGCTGATTCACGGCAATTAGACCAGGCAATGCTTCCAGCTGATACCATGATGACGCATAACATCTTCAATGCCGCGCAGCTTGGCTTGCCGATGACCTTGGCGAATCTGGATTTTTCGCATGACACAGTTGATTCACAGCAACTAGACCAGGCAATTCTTCCAGCTGATACCATTATGACGCATAACATCTTCAATGCCGCGCAGCTTGGCTTGCCGATGACCTTGGCGAATCTGGATTTTTCACAGGACACAGTTGATTCACAGCAACTAGACCAAGCGATGCTTCCAGCTGATACCACGAGGTCCCATAACAATGTTAATGCTGCCCAGCTTGATCTACCGATGTTTTTTACTAGCTCAGTCCCTGGCTCAGAACATATCTGATTTGCAACAGCACGGTTGGGTCTTTAGCTTTTATGTAAATGAAAATTATTCTCAAAGCCTCAAGATGGGCGAAAACCCCCTCCATTTGGCCGATATGTCTTACGTGATGAATTGAGCCTCTGAAGATCGCTAATATGTAGATAGAAAGATATGCAAAGAACATCGATGGGTTGGCTTCATCGGTTCTGTGAGTGGCGCAAATGAATCCATACTCGACTTGTCCCGATCGTTCTAGTTCGCTTATAAACGTCAGTCACTGGATGAACAACTCGATATCCTGTAAAGATACTTACGGCTGTTTACTCTGGGAGGGTGTTTGAATTAGATAGGAGGGGTGATAATAATGACACTAGCGCCAGCGTTAAGTAAAGGCTTATTCTTCATGAACGCGGCGTGTCCCTCCTCCACTATTCCAGATGTAGAATTTTGCGATAATGGGATGAGATACATTTGGGACGAATCGTTCAAAATCTCCGTAGCCTCATAAAAATGGGCTACAGTCCATCTCCAATCCTGTTATTCGGGTGAGCTCAGCAATTGAACGGATGGTAGCTACACTTACCTTCCCAATATCAGCCGAACCCATTTCTTTGACTAGGTCTAGTACTCTCTTTAGGAGAGTATTTCCTCCATACATCACGCCGCCTTCGATCTTGGTTGAAAGCTTTTGAGCTTGCTCCGGATTTCCTTCTGCTGAGCCTTCAATGCCTGATCCCGGTAACATCTCCTTTATTTGTTTTCGTATACGCTCGGCATCAGAAGACAGTGCGAATAAAGTGTATTGACCGCTTTGCGCACTCATTTTAGGCCGTTTCGGAATAGTTTTCTTCGGGTTCGAGCAATTTGCCGCGCGTAGATCCAGATGGGCCAAGGGGAGTGATGAAGAAGGCGAGAGTTTGTCTCGGCCGAGAACTAGAAAGGCAGCGCACGTAGTAAAATAACCCCAGGCGCTTTTTGAACTCTTCGATCGTATCGTCGTCACCTGGACATGAGAAGTTTTGGCGGTGCAATTTGGAGGGGTAATAGAGGGGCGCCCACCTATTATTGTCGGAGGATCCAGCGAGCGGGAAATCACGTGGCTTGGATTCTTACATGGCAGAAGCTCCCTCCAATTTCGGGCATCTATACAGCAAAACACACCTTTTGCGTTGTATTTTCCGCCTAATATTATAACCAGAATTAATGTTTCTGACAACGAAAAAGATTTCATTATCAGTGCGAACAGAGTGAGTCAATCGTCGGGATACTAGATGAAATCATATGGGGAACGGCTAAGCTTAAGATATAATGAGCTGTGGTATCTTATTTATCTTTGCAAAGTAAGTAAGGGAAGTCGGGGAAGTAAGGATATGGCGGGGCTTTTAAGTCGCGATTTGGAAATTGATCAGCCACTCCCTCGAAAAAAATCGAGTCTTCCCATCCTGTTGTCGTCTAGGGAGTTGGTTCACTGATATTTCAAAGCGAAAAACATCAGGTCCAAATGATTCACAATCAAATTTGTTTTGCGTATAGATTACGAAGAAATTAACTTCGATGATGCAGCTTGGTTCATGATCTGCGCCAGCCTTGAATGGGTTGCTGCTGGCTTGCCCTTTGATCGCATCTCATAATCAATTTTACCACTTTAATGTCTCATCTTGCCACTTTTAAATGGTGAACCCAGAAATTCACTCTATGCTCCAAAATGCCCTGTGGTATATAACCGCAAAAATCATTCAATACTATGCTATGCTAGGGAGCCAGGCTTGACCCTAACCAATACCAGCTCCTAGGAGCAAGATATCCAAACTTCAAGCGCAATTTTGTGAAGGTCAAGTCTAAGATGTCTAAGAGCTTTACAAGCAAAGAAGCTGTTGGATTCATCAGTAGATCCAATATCGAGAGCATAAGAAACGTCGGGTAAACGGTTCTTGTGGACAAAAAGATGGTGGTGTGGGTCTGCCAGGGTTACGTGCTTGAGATACTTAGTAGGCAGGACTATAAGTTTGATTTGGAAAAAGACGACGTATCACACTCGCATTCGCAAATTTTCCTTTTAGCTTCGACTGTTACTCCTAGATAGTTCTTCACTCAATATCGCGCCTCAGATGTTGATAAACCCTGAATATTCCGTCTTCAATAAATCCAACATCAGCTCACATGAAAGTTTCGAGCCGTGTGGGCCCTACTTACCTAGCCCAGTGATTAGCGATTAGGTAGAGGGTGGAAGCTTGTGCTTAAGGAAACTGGCCTTTGCACATTTATTTTTCCCTAGGGAATTTCATAAGTACAGCCTAATAGTCGATCAAATATCTAGTTTCTAGATTGCTTTGAAAGGGATGCAAACCCAACCTTGAGAAAAGCCTCAAGAATAAGACAGATAGCGATGTGACGAACTTATACAAGTTCTCATGTTGTCAGTGTGGTGCGACGTCTGAGCCAACCACCTCTGCCTGGGCTGAAACAGTAAAAATCACAGAATTGATCGGCTTTCAATCAAAATCAAATTTTGTAAATAACCGACTCACGGACGTTCCGTGATCTGAATCTAGAGCTGGTGGGCAGATGTCTGCTCGGGCAGACATCTGCCCACAATAATTATGCATCATTAGTAAAGCCTCAACGTTGCAGATACTCTAACGAGAGCTGTACTGGTTTCAAGAGAGATTTGCAAATATTACTTTCCTGTCTCCGCCAAGACTAAAACTGCGTGCAGTGGTTCCATGGGCCTTTTGAAATTACTGAAATGTTGGTTTCCTTTTCCCCCGCCCACTTCTCAACTTGCTATTGAATCACCTCTGCCGATTCCATATAGGATATTCAATCATTTCTATCTCGAAGCGAAGGTGATACGAAGGAACGTTGGCAATCACTTACTTTTGAACTGCCTGCATCTCCTTCAATATTGTTTAACCGAACCCGCGTATCAATCAAGACAAATATGAACTAGTGTATCGGTATAGTCACAATACACTACCATGCCGGTGAGGGCTTGAGGAACCACTGGTTTCTCCTTTTCCTTTTGAACCCACGAAATTCTCTTAGGCTTCAACGTTGAGTGACTCTTTTCCTGACAAACACAAGAAGCCTATCCGAATAAACGGTACACAGTCCAACTACGGATCTAATTCGTGTGTCTTTCTCAGTCCCGATTCTTGTCCAGAAATATGTCTGGTGTGACACCCTAGACGAAGTGTTCTCGAAAAACACAAACGTACTACTGATAAATTCGCTTGTTTTAAGATCCGGATTTAAAATTTAAACTTCCGCTCTTTGTTTTGTCTTCAATTCGTCACTAGCAGTATGTAAAATTTATCGTCTAACAGAGCTGGCCTTCCCATCTTTACTCGATACCTTTATTGCAAAGTCTTATTCACAGCATTTTCATAAAAAGGAAAAAAGTTGTTGCAAGGCCGTAGATGATAAAGCATCAAAATGCCAAGTCAATAGAGCTAGTTTCAATACAGTATCATGACTCAAATAATGCACAACCCTCTCCACTACTGTAGATTTTTCTTCTTTCAGATCAGTCCCCTTGAGTTCTCTCATAGCCTTGCAAGTATTTATTAGCAACCTACCGTAGTAACCAAGGCCCTGTAGAGGATTCCACTTCCAGAAGTGTGGAGAGTCAACTCGTAGAGAACATATTGCCTGCAGAGCAACTTTTGCCAGACCGTTTTGGAAAGCGGACGGTATAGATGCAGCCTCTAGATATCAGCATCGCATCATTGTTAGAGATCCATGAGAACTCACCATGACTGCATTCTCAAAAACGATTAACTGTTCATTGACGCCTGTGGACAAGTCTCGCTTATAAGCCCTTACTTGTACCATGATGCTTCCTAAGTTTTCACCATTGATACCATTTCTTTCTTAATTTAAACTCTCTGGTCATGGAATGTCTCTCGACTATTTCCTTCCGAGCCACCTTGCTTACTTTTATCCAGAATTTTTTTTACGCGTAGAGTGGAAGGAAAAGTGGATGGTAAATCATAGTATGGAAATAAGGGGGAGGTGGTTTTGATCGACCCTCCCCGTGTATGCCAAGGCTGTTTTAATCGTGTCTAGAATGGCGGCGAAGCACACCAAGTCCGTGCTTCAGCGAAAAAAAGCCAATTAGAAGATACCGTTCATGATCAAAGCGAAAACAGTCTGATTTAGTGGCTGTTAAAGGATTCTGGGAGCCACCAGAGAGATGTGAAGGCAATGCAATCTGGATCTCTTTGGTACATCAAGCAAAATTGAACCAAATTTTGCTTTGACCTCCTTCAAAAAGCAAATCTATCTGATCGGCCTCATGCAGGAAGCAAAAACCGCAACAAGCCCTGAATTTGGGGAACCATAGTCAATAATTACGGTCAGGGTAGTAAACAGGAAATTGGTACGATTCATGGGATATATAATCTTGCATATTGATAACAGCCTCGATGCCGCAGACATTCCGATAGCTATTCTGCTGCTTCTACGGTAATCCTGCAAAGTCTTGAGTTTTGTGTCTCCATCAAAAAAGCAATATACCTTGTAGCGTGAGATTCCATGGGCTTCTTCACTACCCTTTCTGGATGGGTTTTCACTCAATCTAACTTGTCAACCCGCCATCGGAATACCTCTGCTGATTCCTTCTGGGGAAACCATCCATCTCAACACCATACACACGAAGAAGAGACAGGGCCGGTAGTGAACACTTTCGAACTGCCTGCATACCCCCCCTCACTAGTGTGCAGGGCAGCGTTAGTCATCGAGACCCAACCCGTGCCAGCCGGCCCGTGCTATCATTCAACTCGCGGTTCTATAGAGCTGATATCATACAACTGTACACCACCTGTTCCACAAGAACCGCCAGCCGAAAATACCTGGACGAAATGGCTTCCCATCCTCTGCAAAAGTAAGCCTCTAACATTGATCACTACCAATACACCTTGCTAAGTGGACAGATTGATGAACTCAAATACAAGTCCTGCGATGTGCCCCGTATTGGAATTTTAATGGAGTATGGAGGAGAGGTCAAGAGTTACTCAGATTTTCGAAAGTGCCTGCTTTTTGTTGCCAATATGGATAATGGGGCTATTGAAACTGTATATATATTGAGCCTCGTGAAGTCTTGGAAGGGGCTAAATCATCGGACTTGAGAAATCGGGATCGAACCCGCCAGGCCAGGCACATGTTGTTGCCTGAGGAGTGGTTTGCCTTGGAATATCGATATACGAGGAAGCGATAGAAGCTGTACGCTAGAGGCAATTTAGAATTAAAAGCCAAACAATTGAGATCATCGAGATTCCCTTTAGTTCCAGATCTAATCATCACTGCACTTAGGTCCAGATTTTGGCAGTCTGGTTGATTCGCTACGTTGCCTCTCCACCGCTCATTCTCAGTGCTGCAAGACGCCGTGTTCTAATTAAGACCCAGATATCCATGGAGAAGGACTACGGTGGCGGGAAGTATGAAATACAGAGGGCTTTACTTTTCTGTCATGCAGATGATCTAAAATGGAATGCCAACGGAATCTCTTGGACATTCGGTATGCGAGGGTGCAAGAGAAACTGCGATCTAGGACTCTTTTGCTGCCTCTAGTTCTTATTACTCGGCAAATCGAAGAACAATTTCCATCCCTGAAGAATGCGTTGGCAACACTGTGCTTTATTATAAAAGAGATTGTCGTCCCATTGTGAGACTCTGTTCCATTTCACTGTTTACATTCACTCGGACTCAAGATGTCTGAGGCGGAAAGGCAGCTCGCAATTGTGTTGCAAGCTCTTGTGAAAACGGGTTTGAAATATATCTGCCCTCAATGTTACCAGCTCTTTTCAGACATCATTGCATGTTATCGCCATTGTCGAGAGGCAGGAGAAGGCGACACAGCAGATGATATTCACAAGGGGCTTGGCTTGATCACCAAGAAGGACTTTCCGGAATTCCTGCGATGCTATCGAGTGGCTATTGGTTTCTCAATTGCTGAATGTGACCTTCCATTAGGAGGAGGCGGCCCCGGACGGCGCTCTTATGACAAATGTTTTGCAGTTGACTTTGTGCTTGACAATAGTGGTGAGCTTTAGTCGGAAATGTAAGCTCGAAGCCTTTGAACTGATATGGACACAGTTCCCAGCAGAGAAACAATAGATGCAATGTTGTTGGCTGTGATCAAAATCTAGTTTATATCTCATCAAGGCCATGGTGGTAAGTCGCAAAATGCTCTTCTAGACTGACGGAATTTTAGGAGCTAATTTTAATAGACAAACATTTAAGTATATGGCTTGCTCACCCGTTTGTTGACGGAACAAACACAGATGAGGCACAAAACTAGTGTTGATGGCTGTATGACAGGCTCGGTGGGAGATTTGGAAATGAAAGCGTGGCACAGAATACAAAAATATCCACCAAAGTTGTCGAATTTTCCTAACGAGGAATGCACCATGTCTCGAAGTCATAACTAAATATACAAGACCGCGTCGCCCTTGATCATGTGATATTCCAAGAACCCTAATAATCCGCTCAATTTTTCTTTGAACTCCGTCAACGAGAGCGATCCGTAAATTTTGGTATAGCTGAGATGAATCGGTGCGCAAATCGAGTCAAAATCAACGTAAGGCTTGGCGAAAAATTGAAGGAGGCCCCTGGAAAGAGGAAATATTCTCGAGTTGAAATGCCAGGCGAGAAGTGAAAGCATGGTCAAAGCACAAGTTGTCAGTTTACTCGCCATACTGTGCGCGTAATTCTTCAATATGTTGTTTCTGGCCAAAGCTCTGCGTTTGGCCCAAGAGCGATAGTCGTACTTTATGAGGGCCTGGCAGGTGGAGACCAGGGATGCAGTTTCGGCATTGAGCTTGTGCTGCCGCTTGACTGCTCGTTTGACCTCTCTTGTACCTAGAAGCCACACTTGTTGACCGATCAGGGTGGCCGTTGCGCCATCCCGGAGACCTGCTTTCGGAATGGGAAACTGTATCATCAGTATATAGCTGCGTAAAGAAAATGATTGATGACTTACGCCGCTTTGAGAGACTGTCGACATTTCAAGAGGGGAAGAGGAGTTGTTCAACTGCAGAGCATATCGTTGGAACCCCTGGGCCAGCCGCCTTCTATATGCTGGAATGAGATGAGATGCCACCGAGCCCTGATCATATCAAACACTAGCAAGGGATTGCTTGACCAATAAAAAACACGAGCTCCGCCCCACTCTCAATACAAAGTCTTTCAAAAAGTCGGTATTTCATCTTTTTGAACAGATGAGTAAATTTGGTATCAATGCGCAGTGGGGGCATATCTCAAGGCCTTCCATAGGTGAGGGATAGAGCGGCAATCTTCTTTTGTCGCCACAAGCATTTACCAAGAAACTACAGAGCTCAATCAGATCAAGCAGGCAGACAAAGAGACAGTGGAAGTGAGCCATAAGGCAATTGCATTAGCCACGGTAGCAAGCTACTACCTGGGTGTACTGGGTCATACTCCCTCACGCAAAGCATCCCCAGTACCTAAAGAACGAGAGATGCAGGAGCTGGCACACTAGTACTTGCAAAATGAAATAAAGAGATTACCAACAAAAAATGGCGATTTAACTCTGGCTTGGTATTAGTTTCCAGCGGGGGAAACAATGCATAATGAATTGGAAAGTGGAGCACATCTAGTCAAAGTAGCGCAGCCCCTTCGAATGACGAATGCTTCTGTGGCACCCAATGGTTGCGGAAGCGCAAACTGTGCGTCAAAGACGCCGGTCATCATATATCAGTCCATGCAGCCATTATTCAATTCAAGGCTGGTTGGCTTTTATCCTGCCACGGCTCTCCTAATCAATATTGAAGTCGGATCACCATCCTATTCTTATTTCTCCCTGGTCTGTCTCACAAAGATGGACATCCACTGTCCTCCATTATACTCTACCATTCTTACAACCCGCCATCCTCACTGGGATACCCAAGAAGATGCCAGTCATCAAGCCATGCATAGTACACAGCCTTTCAGACCTCAGAAATATCCTCGACTATCGTCCAACCTCACCGAGCTCTCTTTACAAGTTTACGAAGTCCCTAACCATTTGGCTAGCCAGAGCCAACAGCGTACGTTCATCTTTTTCGTGCTAACTGCAGACTAACACTTGCATGTCACAGAATTTCTAGAAAATTACACCCCTCCCGAATTTGTCGAGCCGATATCCTCATTCGCTGAGACAAACCAACAGGGGGTCCCCAATTCTAGCAGCTGTCTTCAAGCCCAGCATGTCCAGTCATACCCCTCCTTCAAACCCAAAAACTATAAATCCATCGCAGCGAGCTTTACCGGGTCTAATTCAAGCTCTCCAAATGCCACTGAGCTTAACATGACGCCATCCCATGGGGATCTTCAGGCATACAGTGAGCTCCCGCAGGTCTTAGATGCTAGTAATAGGCAAGTTCGGACTCGAGAGATGAGTGAAACTTCATCTTTTACATCGTTTCGTAATAGTTCACTAACATAGTCTTGTTTAAAGACCCCAGATTGAATCTCTTTTGCGTCCAATTCTTCCTGCTTCCTCCACTTCGCAATACCGATTGTCAGCTCCACCCTTGGCTTCTGATTGTGAACATCATGGAAATGCGCAACCGCTGCTCTCATATCACACTGAGTCACCAGAAGCGTGCGACTATACCCCCATCGAAGCGATTGATCAGGTGCAAGAACATTTCTCTGGCTGTGCCCCCGACAAGGGGATTGACGAAACCCCGTACCCTGTTGGTCACTCTCATGTCAATTTCGATGCTGCCTTTCCGATTATGGATACAAATCCGAACCACCTCGGACCCAGGGCAGACTTGGATGGGCTTCCGTTTTATCTCGAGTGGCAGCAATTCAATCTTGCCGGCGGGACGTGGAGGTACGTGATTTGATTTACCGAGCGTTGAACCATACTTATAGACAGATGGGATCCCGAGCACATTCCGCTTATGGAACTGAAGGGCCACAAGCTTTTTCTTAAAACGGGGTATAGCCATAAACTACTCGAGCAGCCCTGTGTGGCCAAATGCTTAAGTGAAAACCCAGCTGTCGGGTGGCCCAGGGTGATTTTCCAGGACAAGTAAGACCTGAAGCCATTGCCATACATGTACACAATTAATCATAGACTCACCAGTTTCAAATGCGTGTAAGTTTGCACCTTCTACCAACTTGGCTCTTTATTCACAAGGCGAAGAGCATTTTCGATAACAGGAGCAACGATCACTTGTGATGAGCCACCGGTCACACTTCGAGCTGATTTCTCGACTTTCGTTCCAGATTTTCTCTCGAGTTTGAATTCAATTCCATGCACTACTTTACTAGTGTCAAATGACACCGAAGGCCTTAGTGATTCTCTTCCGAATACTGCAACGCCTTTAAAAGGTAATTCACATGAAAACAGTATGTCAACCAGATAGTTCAGAGGACAATACTGATATAAAGATGCATAGAGCTAGTCAACGGCGCCAAATGGAGCCCTGAAGTCGTGGCGAAGCAGGCTGTACGCAAACTCTTTGGCCGAGTGCGCTCGCGAACACGATTTTCACCCCCCAGCACACTGAAAGAGCTTTATCAAGCTGGCTTCAACAGCCTCAATGCAAGGACGTGTCGAGACCTTTTGGTCAAGTGGATGATTATTATGGGAAAGACGAAAGGGTCGCCATACGTGAAGAAACCAAGCTGGTGGCCCGATAATATCAAATACCAGAGTGCTCGAATGCTGTGTGGCTTTGGTATGTGTTCTCGCAGCTTGATACTTACACTCATTGACACTCCATAGAGATCAAAACAGTCCTCTTTCATATGTTCTACAGTAAACAAGGCCTTGTTCTCTTTGGGAGATTTTATGCCGCTCGGAAGGACGTCAAAATTACCAAAAAAGACGAAGAGACTCTAGCATGGGCTCTCTATATTCGAAGTGTCTTCAAAACCGATATCAGGCTTCGTAAGTACCGATTGACTTTGGATTTCTGCTGAAAGCCGCCTGACAGCATATAGGACTGCCTGAGGAAATCTCGGTGTATCAATAGGCGCATTGGACACCCCAAACCGAAGTTCTGGTGCATGCGATCCCTGCTCTCAATTTGCCTGGAACATTTTTTGCTGTTCAATACCGCCTCCTTTTTGAAGATGTTATAATTCCTGATTCAGAAACGGAATCAAGCTGAAAATGTGGATTTCTGATTAAATTTGTGTGAAGTCGGAAACATATCAGAAAGACGAAGAAAGTCTTTTGGTGGCAGGTAGCAAGTCAGGTTAAGTCTTTGGGATGAAATGATGCGCCTTGGTGCACGGATACGAATATTACAATACCTTTCCATTAAATGGTAATTTTCATTTTTTGAATGCGCTTGTATTCAGACGGACGTGGCCTACTCAATAGTTCTTGAATGCTCCATACCTGCTGCAGCGAAAGATCCCGGCAGCCAATCCTACTCTATAAAAATCCTTGTAAAAATTTCCCTGGTATTCTTGTATTTTCCCCAAAATACTCTTTTCCAGACCAATAAGCGCCCAAGAACCAGCTAGTCAGGATTCAGGATATGCATTACAGGTTTTCCCCGCTCATCACGGCGTGAACTGCGATAGGTCTTCCTGAGCAAGGGGAGGGAGGGTCGGCTATCTTCCCTTCCTTCCTTCACGTCGTACTTTAGTACAGATGAATCTTCATCAACCCTGTGTCTCCGCTTCAGCCAGATGAGACCTTCATTCTTCATTTAAACTGCCTCCCTCCAATTATTCTCGAATCCTGTTGCTGCAAGAGCATGTCTAATAATAATGAACATTGGATTTCCGGTTCTGGTCTTGGTCCCCAGCCTCGCGGCTCCCTTGTCCCAAAGCCAATTCCCCAGTCGCATCCGTCGATTGAAAGTTTCATCGGTCCTTCATGGGAAGAGGAGATGATTACTTCCTCGAGCTCAACTTCTTCTAAGCCGAGCCCTATAATTGAAATTCCTAGCCATAAAGCAGCATGGGACAGTGTGCAGGACTCGTTCATGAGGGCGGAACCTAGGGGTGTTGGACCCC